CCCTCAGGGGGGGGTGGTACTTTGGCTTGTGGCGAGATGTTTGTCCAGAGTCCGGCGGGGACGAAGTGTACCTGAGTTTCACCGCCGTCGGGTGTGCAGTCTTCAAAGGGACGGAAGCCTTCTTTCCCCGCTGCGCGAGGCGTGTCACTATCACTCGGGAAGTAGCCGCCGCTGAGTAGTTGAAAGGTGACGACACCGAGCGACCAGATGTCGGCGGAGGTACGGTAACCGACGCCATGTTTTACCTCGGGCGCGGCGTACGCCTCGGTGCCCATAGGCTCGCACGCGACGGGACTCAGGTGGCAGGAGTTAGCCGTGGTCGGACGGGGCACGCCATCTGGTGCTAAGATCTTGCTCAAGCCGAAATCCGCTATTTTCGGGTGCACGTGCTTCACTAACAACTCTGCCGCCTCCCACTCTGCCATGTACTCCATGGCCTGCGGAATCCACGGCGAAACAAACGTGTGTGCCTCACACAGCCTGCAACGGATAAACGGTCCAAGGCAGGAGCAAGTGGGGGGAGGGGGAGGAGTGGAGGAGCATACAGTTTGAGGAAGTCGGGTTTGCATTTGTCTTTATACATCCAAATGAGGACGTTCAGGAAGAGCCAGACGTTGGCGTCTTCGTTACGTTTGACGACGTATTCAAAGGCCTCGTCCGCGGGTAAGCTTCCCAACAGTTTGGAGTTGAATTGAGGGCAGCCATGCGGAGACGCACTGGGATAGAAGTCTACGGTGTCTACGGATGAGGCGTCAGAGGGTGTGGCTGAGTCGGTAGGAGGAGAGGAATCAGCTAGGTGGATGGAGAGGGACATCGGAACACTTGCTTGCGACTCGAGACTCAAGTCGGAGTCTCCCTCCTCATGGGGAGAGTCACCTTGGGGAGAGTCTCCCCCAGCGGGGGAGTCTTCAACGAGGGAGGCTGCAGGACGAGAGCTGCCGGTCGGAGAGCCGAAATCTAGAGAGTGTCCCCCTAGGGCCAGAGAGTTTCCCGTCTGAGAACCTGCGACCGGCGTTGAGACGAAACCGCCCGGTCGGAAGCACTCCTGATCGCCGCTGGGAGCTGCATCGTCACCAACGCCCGGAGTTACGTCACGACCACAAGGCTCTGGGTGGTGCTTCCGACGACAACCGGGCATTGTAGGTGTGCAAAGCAAATTGTTCCGTTTGCTGTCCAAGTGTTTGTTATCCAAATGTTTGCCGACCTGTCGACTTATCGGGTTGAGCCCGTGATCCGAAACCGATCTGTCAGATCGACTGTCCGGGACGTCGCTGACTGTCGGGGTACGAGATAAACTGTTTTGCGTGCGACTTGCAGGTGCGCGACTGGCGGAAGCTCGACTGGAGGCCATCGACCGCGATGCTGACCTTGGCGCTGAGCTGGGTGATCGACTGCTTGCCATTTTCTGCAGATGTTTCCTTCTGCTATCGACTTGCTTAGTAATCTCATGAATCAGTTCGTCGATCTGGATATCCAGTAATATGTTTTCGGGTTTGATATCTCGGTGAACGACATTCCGTAGCCTGTTGTGTAAGTAGCTAAGTCCCCTGAGGATCCTTCGGACGAGTTCGCGCACGATTTTTTCGGGGATCCAGATTAGGTCGACATTGGTTAAATCAATCGACCTCGCAGTCGCGTGTGGGGATGGGGACGGATTGTGCGCAGACGACGTCGTGGTGGATTCCATGGCTTCTCGTCGGCGAGAGATTAGACACCTATTTACTGTCAAGAGCGCGTCCAGTAACGTTTTCAGGTCGCCCGATTGCGACCATTCCATTACGATATATATGTACTCTTGATTCTGATATACTTCTACTAATCTAACTACGTTAGGGTGATTTAATAAACGCAGGACGCTAATTTCTGTCCTTTGAAACTGACGGAGATCGGCCTCACCACATTCGGACGACTGATTCTTGCAAAGACTTTTACGACGACCGAGACACTTCTTCCTTTGATACTGTTTCGCCTTTTGCAGGTCTGCACGCCGCATTATCTTAACTGCCACCTTCTCGTCCGTGAGACGGTGTTCTGCGCTGAACACGGTACTGAATCGACCTCTCCCTAACATTTCCTTTAGCTGATAAGTTTGGTGAAACTCGCCAACATTCCCTTCGATTACATTTTGCATCATCGAGATCCACAAGTCCCGCTCCCTACGGTGGCGACAAGATAGACGCAAATAATGTCCTCGAATATGACACACGTAGAAGCTATGATGAAATCGGGTCAGTCGCGAAGGCATTCCTAAAAACTCGTGATCGACAACCAAAATTAACTGGGCCGCGCCGCACTTGCCTGCGTCAGATTTATATGCTCCACACTTGCCTGCTCCACACTTGCCTGCCCCACATTTACCTGCGCCACATTTACCTGCCCCACATTTACCTGCGCCACACTTGCCATGACATTTCGAATCATGCCTTGCAACTATGTGGTCGCCCTGGCAGTGGTCAGCGGCGGCAGACCGATCGATTCCGCCCTCGCGGGTGTCATCCTTCATGGTAGTGGGCCACCTGGCGTCTGCACAATTGCGTTCTGTACAGTTGCGTCCCGGGCACGGAACACCGGCGTAGCTCTCACCTTCTTGGGACTCCGTGTCAGCGTTCTGAGCATTTCGCGTGCAGCATCTCGATGAGGTCTTGCAGTAACCCAGTCTGCTGTAGGCCTTGACCGTGGACCCTAATAGACAAATGGCCTTTGTCGGCACAAAATCTTCGGGGGTACGGTACAACAACAAATACCGGTCCTTCAAGACCGCAAAATAACGACTGTAGCTCCGCTCCACCCAGCCACAAAACGTCACCGTTCCCGAGAAACATGGTCGAGCCAGGAGCTGCTCCTCAACTATCCTTACCGTCAGACGGGACTGGCCTCGTCCCCGACTCACTCCAGAAGGAAAAGACATGCCTCCTACAGACAGGCTGCCCAGAGCAGAGTCATCAACGTGTCCCACATCATGGGTCCGCCAGTGGGCCGCGCTGGCGACCTGCGGTTTGGACCCAAGGCCCTGTGTTTTGTCGGCGTCTTGTATCACAATCGAATGGATAGGAAAGCCGTGAGACCTCCGTGCATTCCCACCAGGCGGCCGGTTACCAAGTTGAGGCGGTCGATGACCAGCCTCAGGCAATCGGTGACCAAGCTCAGGCGGACGGTTATTCGTCCCAAACGAGTCACTGTTCATCTCGACTCGGGCACCGACATCACATACGCTCTTCTCGCTTCCGGTCGGTATCGCAGCAGGCGACGATTCAGCTGCACCCGCTGCTTGCTGACCACTTAGTTGCAGCCCAGCGGGTGGTCGGAGGTGTGTACTTGGGGGAACCACGGGTAATGAGTGGCTGATGGTCTCGGACCAGAAAAGGTCGAGGGCCTGTTTGAGATCGTGCTCCCGTTCGACAGTTTTGACGAACATTGGGAAGTCCAAACAGCGAGAGGTATGTCTGCTGCTGGGAGCCGTGGGGTCGGACTGCAGGCCCCCCTGGGTCGCGAGTCGACCCGTTCTCGGCTTAGCTTTACTGCCCGGCGTGGAGCTGGTTCCCGCCTCTCCCGACGTCACCTTCCCAGAGGCCGTGTTCCCAGAGGCTGTCTTCCCACAACGATCCGTCTTAGGAACCCCCCTAAGACGGTCCGCTGATGGTTCGGCTTCGGCCTCATGCTCGGGCTCATGCTCGGGCTCATGCTCAGGCCCGGATTCGGGGTCCCACGAAAGATCGAAGGCGCGACAGACGGCGGATTCGAGCCTGCGTTCTAAGTCAGGATCTGACGGATGTGTGTGTGATAACATCATACGTAATTCATCCAGACTTACCACGCCATCTCCGTTCAGGTCATACATCCGGTGCAGGAAGGCTAGTTTACGCTCTGTACCGGCGCCCATGGCCTGGATGCCTTCCAGGAATTCATGGAAATCGATCGTGCCCGAGTTGTCCAGATCAAATGCTGAGAACAGACGGTCCCCTAACACACCCGGCAAGCATGGGAACATCTCCAAAAACGCGTCCTTCGTCAAATAGCGATCCGTCCTCCACAATTTGAACGGGCTCTTCGGCTCGTACGAAATGCTCAGGAATAAAGAGTGCAACGCCTCCTCCCACTCCTTTAACGATACCGCTAAGAAACGACAGCGCTGTCACCTCACCACTTCTGACTCCGATTTCTCACAATGTGTGCGTGGTCGCTCGCAGTGCGTGCGTGCGTGGTCAGTGACACAGTAATCACCCTCCGTGCGTGCTCCCAGTGCATCGCCATGACAAATATCGCACCGACGAGTGCATCCTCCGGGTCACTCCGGATCACCCCTAAGTGCAGAGCTAAGATCACTTACAGCCATTTTTATTGTCCATAAAACACACGTCTAACTATATCATCGAAAAGCCCCGAAATGAAGGCGGGGAAGGGTGCGGTCCAGCCAGCGCACATGGCGGCGGGGAAAAGGGCCTTATCTGTCGCTTCTGAGCATGCTGATTCTCCTGAAGGCGCTGACGGTACTGGAGGAGGGCGACCTACCTTCCCAGCGGTCGGCGGCGGCGTTCGGGAATCGGGGTGCAGTATGCTGAGGTTGGAAGGTGTTTTCATCTTCAGCGGTCATGGTGGAGGTGAGATATTCCTGCAGAAGCTTCTTGCGTTCGGAGTAGGCGATATCGGCTCTGGATTTGTAGTAGAAGATCCAGAAGAGGGCGATGAGTATCACCACAACGATTGCGACGCAGCCAAAGATGACCAGGCTGATAACGCCGGTTCTGGAGAAGAGTGTGGTCAGCATCTTCTGAACGGTGCTGGGGTTGCCGGAGGGGTCAACGGCAATTCCAAGAACACATTTGAAGCTGGGTCTGCTCCAGAGTGCGTCTTGTTTGCACTGGACGATCTCGAACTGGCCTTCGTAGGTGGGTGGATTAGCGAAGTAATTTTCTGCGCAACTCACGTTCCGCGTGGCACCAAAGACAGAATCCATTCCGGCCAGTGCGTAGGCATGCACATCTGCTTCGGCGAAGGCGGGTACGGCGGGACAGGAGGGTTGGCAGTCGAGTTGGACAGGTGACCAGCGGCCGCCTCGGCAGACGGTGGCGACTACGCCGAGCAGGCCGGTGGAGACGTCGACACTGAGGCCTTCACGGCAGCCGAGAAGCACGGCGTCCCCGGGTCGGTAAGAGTCCGTGGCGGCGAAGCTGGCGCCCGGGGGCAATGCCGTGAAGGCAGTGTCCGTGTTTTTGGACACAGGCTGCAGTGCCACACTGGTCGCAGCCAAGCCCAGCGCGGGGATCACGTCGCGTTCGCACGCGCGGTCGCAGTAGAACTGGGTCGTGCGAACCCACACCCCTGCCACACACTGCCACACACCCGTAGCCTGTGATGTGGGCGACACAAACTGCGCCGCACACACTGTGGCCACCTGGTCGCCATGTTCGTACTCACTCTTCACGTTCGTGCTCGCTACCTGTGAATCCCCCAGCGCCTTTTGCAGCATTTTCAATGAACAACCATCCGCCCGCGTCCTGGCCGGATCTACGCCCCAAGCACCCAAGGGTACACCCACCGTCTTCGCCCGACCCGCCTTCTCCACCGTTACCGTTTCGTCCCAGATGTCCGCTCGAATTGCGCCCACTGCAGCCTCGCTGCGCAGTTCGTTAACACCTGGCGCACGTAGTAAAATACGCACCAGTTCGTCCATCATCGCGCGGGCCGTAATCTCCTCCGTACTCGCCAGACCAGCGACTGAGCCAGGGGCCGCTGAACCGGGGACTACCGAATTCGTTGCCGCCGAACCGGCTGTTACAGAGCTAGGAATCGAACTGGCGGCCTGGAGCGCGCGAATCGCTGCCACCGCCGCCACGTCATTGCCCGGCTTCAGACTTAGAACCAATAAAGCCGAGCTGTCCGCCAAAGGCTGCAGCCATACGCGACTCACGTCCTCAGGGATCACGCCAAAGACGTTCGCAAACGCTGACCGCGCCGCTGAACTTCTCAGCCATTCATTTACGGATTGAATCGACGTCTCCACCGAGTCGGACAACTGGCGAATCGCAGAGGCCAGCGAGCGCTCACTGCGGTCACCGCCGTGCTCGGCAGTCAGCTCGAGCGCGACGTGTCGCGTCACGGCCGGACGAGTCACTTCGCTCTGCTCCTGAGCGCGATCCACATATGCACTCCAGCCAAGGCTGGGCGACCGGACAGTAGGTCGTGCAGCCTGCAGCATGCGACCAGACAAGTTCGCGGACTGGAGATAGCCCGGGTTTGCAGATCCTGCGTTGAACTGCATGTTGCCTATGTCTACCGAAACTACAAAGTCAGTGGTTTTGCCTTCATTGACGCAGTTCCGGTCGAGGGCCAAGGAGCACTGTTGCTCCAGCGAGGCAATGGACCAGTCTGTGACAAAGTCTGCGTTGACTGAGGTGCCAGAACTGGTCACGGGCCAACGGAGTGCGTTGTTTTGAAGTGGTTTGATTGCATCGACTTTATCAATTACATCAGCTTCTGCCTTAAACATGTTCTTGAGCGTCTCGAGGGCGTTAGTGTAGCAGCATCCATATTGGGCGATGCAGGCTTGCATTTTTTGCTTGCAGGTATCTGTGCAGGTAAAGGTCGGCGAAATGGGTAGACAAGGGTCCGTAATATCGGTAACACAGAGCGGACCCAAAAGGCTGGATAGGAAGCTAGGGAACAGCGCCTCGGCGAAACAGTCACCACCGTCGTAAGCACAAGCAGGCGAGAAACACTGTCGGTCACAAGTACCGTCGCCGAGGAAGAGCGAGCTACATGTACACTGTGATGCGTCATATGTCGGATCTCCGCGAGCAATATCCAACAATTCCGGATTCCAACCCGCTGGTGGTGTGTACACGTTGTGGCACAGCTCGCCTTTCTGATTGGTCTGACACGCGTGTTTGCCGAAACTCGATAAGGCAGAACCCAAAACCGCGTGTCGAGTCGATGCGATTGCGCGACCTTGTCGCTCGATAATGTTACCCAACTTACTCATCAACGGAGCAAAACAAGGACTGCTGCATGGCGCAGGCACCGCCGGGTCATCTACTGGATTTGCACTCGTCAGTAATTGTAACGTATGTTGGCAGAAACCACCGTGCGCTTGGAAACACACCAGATCTAAGATGTCCTGGCCTGCATCAGGCAATGGCAGAATCTTCGATTCCGCCTCCGTCTCCGCCAGCCGCCGTCGACTACTGTCATAGTTGTGACCACTCTCAGCGTAAACGCCATCATAGCCAGTGTCCAGGGTCATAGCACGCTCACCCAGCTCCAGGATCTGAGAAGACCACCTCTCCATTGGCCACTTCTGCTGTCGTCCTTCGCGCTGCGACTCCTCCCGCTGCGGTTCTACATGAAGTCTTCTTCTGCCAGAGCCTGACTCGAAGTGTGTCAGAAGGCCCCAGCCGACGTTGAGATGCGTGATGTGTGAGATGTATCGCACATGGTTCCTTATGCAGCTGTCGGGTGCGCAGACCTCTTCAAGACTGTCGCTGAGTTTGAGAGCTAATGTGTCTAGACTGAGGGTGGCCAGGTCCTCTTCGAAGGTAGTCATGCAGTAGGCTTTGGACACGGGGTCTTTGGTGCACCAGGCGTCCAGGAGGCTGATGAGGACGCGGGCGCCATCGCAAGTGGCGGCGCCCTGCGTCTTGTACTTGTTGAGCATAGTCTTCAGGCGGTAGTAGCAGCTGCCAATGCCGGCCATGGGGCCATGCGGTGCGGCGACGACGCAGAGACTCTGAAGCTCGGCCTCGTCGACCACCTCTCCCATCAGCCAGGGTCCGCACTCAGAGGCGGCGAGGAAGTCGAAGAACTCGTTTCTGAGTGCGCAGCAGCTGTCTCCACTGTCATCATCTTCGCCGCCGCTGCTCGCAGAGGCCGAGTCAACGCAGGAGGCGATGTTGCTCAAAAGCGATCCGTCCAGAATGGCTGCACCAGGACCGGTGGCCAAGAGGTAGCCGTCGAGTCGCTGGACGCCGTCGAGGTCTGAGACCTCGGCCAGGTCGAAGCTAGGCTCGAGTTGAGCCACGATTTCTTCGTAGCTCAAGAAGTCTAGACTCGGCTGCAATCCACGACCCACGAAGACGTCACGAGCGCTCTCCAGTCCGTCGCCCATGCTGGCGCCACGGGCCCAGGCGGAAAGAGTGACGTTCGATCGCACGACTGCAGGCTCGTCCGTGTCCGTGGCCGTTGCGGCGTCTGTATCGAAACCGGCGGAATCGGCTTCCGGAGGCGAGAGGAGGAGGGAGACGGGACGGCCATCGATGTAGCGAAGTGCCGTAGTCAGCTCCTTCTGTGCGCTGCCAAGTTGATTGTCGGTCCAGGTGGTCCGAAGAGTAGAGTTATGCGCAGTTACAGAGTCTTTGACTGCGGCTATCAGAACTCGCTCGACGTTGTGGATGCCGCCGAGCGTCGCATTGAAGAGTGCTGGCAGGTCCAAGGATGTGTCCACAGCTACGTCGGCCTTAAAGCAGTCAGTGCCGAGGGGTCCCGCGGCGCTTTCGGCTGCGAGTTGGGCGAGTCGAGCGGCGGCTTCGGCGCACATGTCGCATGTTTTGGGGCACGCATCACCCACGGTCGCCTCAGCAGGGATGCCGGCTGGCATGGACACACCGGCAGAGCCGGCAAGCTCACTTAAGATGTTGTTGCAACCGAATCCTGCAAGCATATCGCAGCCGAAACCAGTCTGCTGCACGAGTGCATTGTCTTCACAATCGTCGGAGTCTGCGCCTGCAGTCGCCAGGGCAGCGCAAGAGCCGGCACGGAGGATGCGTACGCTGTGGATCGCGTCGCTGACGAGGCTAAAAAGGCTCTCTAATGCCTCGGCTAGATTTTGAACAAAGTCATATCCGAAGTCTTCACCATGGGTCAGTCCGAGTGTGAAGCGCCAGACTTCGATTGTGTCTTCCTCGCATTTCCCCTTGGGTGTCGACCAGACGCCGTCTCGACAGACGAGAGTCTCCGCCGCGAGCGAGTAGTGGAAGCCCGGCGCGCAATTCACGGTGCGAGTTGCGCCGTTGGCCAGAGAGCCAGAGGCGGAAGTGTCGACGGCGACTACGTTTGTGCCGAGGGTCTTGAGGTCGTTTGCTCGACACGCACGACACGGCCGACAATCTTTGCCGCCACAGTCGATGTACTCTTCGCTGCCGTTCTGGAAACCGTCGGTACATGAGGGTGTGTCGCACATCAGACACGACCGTTTGCATAAATCATTCACCTTTAATCCCGCCGGGATCATGCTCCCGAAGGATGTCGAGCTCGCGATCTCACTCAGGTCCGCCACACAACCGAGCCCACCGCCGCCAGCGAGTTGCAGCACCTGGTCGCAACCCATGTTCACGGCCGAGAGTAGCGAACTGTCCTCACAGACGGGCGGGATGCTGTAGGTGTCCTCAGTGGCACACAAGCCGCAAGTAGCAGGACATCCATCCTGCAATTGCGCTGCCGCTGGGATATACGTGGCCGTACGACCCAGTAGGTTCAGCAGCGGCGTGCCGCATCCTTGGTCGGCGTATTGTACTAGCATCGTACATGAGAAGCCTGCCGCCGCGATTGAGGCAAGATCTTCACACACTCCGGCACCGGTCGTGCCACACGTACCGCAAGCTACACGGCACAGTTGGCCCACAGTGTACTCATCGAACATGGTGCTGTCATGTCGGGGTAGTGCGGCTTCGATTGTAACAGCACAACCCACTTCAGCGACCAGTGCTTCGCAACTGGCACCAAAGTTCTCAGTCACTACAGGCGAATCGATACAATCCCCCACGGGGAAGATACACGACCCACAACTCACCGGACACGCGGTACCCACCGCCAGATCAGTAGGTAACTGCGCCGGCAGCAGGTAACCCAGAGATGAAAATGTGTCTCCACAACGTACCCCGCTTAAAGTCACAAATTCGTGGCACTCATGACCTGTCACATCGTACACAAATGCCTCATCATTGCAACTACCCGGGCTCGTAGTCAGCTTTTTCACACGTGAGACCTCATCTTCGCACGCACCGCAGCTAGTTCCGCAAAGATCTGCCAGTACCAAGTTCGAAGGTAGTGCCGCAGGTAACTCGTATCCGAAGGAGTTGAGGGCTTTCTGGCAGGTGGTCTTGCCCAGCAGACCCACCGCCTGCGCGCAAGTGAATCCGGACATTGTTTCGAGAATGCCAAAGTCGTGACACATATATCCGGGTGCGCGCGGGTTCAAACACACCCCACACGCTAAAGGACAGAGTGTAGCCAGCGTCAGACTATCCGGGACGCCCTCGGGCAGGTAGCCTAGACTCGAGACTGAGACCGAACAGTCAGGCAGCAGATGTGTGACCTCGCTGCAGGTCAGCGAGGCATACGACTGTACCAACTCGTCGTTGTCACTACAACCCACTGCGCTATAGTCGACGGGCACGACGTCGAGCGAAGTTTCCGTACGCAGGTACCGCTCCTGGTCGCACGCCTGGCACGTAACCGGACATGCGTCTAACACACGCGTGTCTGCTGGCACACCTGCCGGTAAACTGATTGTTAGGCCTTGACTCCGGGCAAGATTCACGATCGTCTGTGTGCAGTCACCTTTAAGCTTACTAGCCATGTACAACAACGCGCAACTGAAGCCCATGTCCGTCACCACTGAGTCGTCTTCACAGTTCTCTGCGTCCACGCCTTTAGTCGCCTGGAACATGGAGGTCGCCGTTACACCCTTGGTTGTAGCCGCCTGTGTGGCCGCTACCTTGGACGTCGCGGCCACCTTGGTCGTGGTGGCCGCCACCGCCTCTTGACCCAGTTCTCTCTCCGGCTGGGGCGGCACGTCCTCACGACAGTCACCCCCGTCGAAGCTGCAGGCGGGCACGTTACAGGCGGAGTCACAAAAGCCGTTGCCCACGAACCAGTCAGTGCAGTCATCGGCGCAGCTTTGGGCGCAGAGTCCGCAGGAGCCGGGACAGACGAAGGCAACATTAGCAGCTGCTGGCAGAATGGGCGGTAAGGCCTGGCCGGAGTCGGCTAGACGGTAGTCGCAGCCGAGCGAGGACACGAGTTGTTGACATGAGAACCCGGCCACTTGCTCCACCAGTCGCACATCTTCACAGGCCAACGGAATCGATGACTGCGGTCCTGTTTTAAGCCCGGTTCTTAGACTCGGTTGATCGGCAAACTCGGGCAGTAGTGGTACACACGTTATCGATACTGTGAACTGGTCGCCGAAGACTACGCCATCGCGCGTAGAAAGCGACAGATCGCGGGCTGAAAGTTCGGGGTACGGCGTGCCTTGGTTGCGATAGAACGCGCCGCCGTGACAGTCGATCGCGGGTGTGCGAAGTGGGTGAGCCTGCAACACTCGACACGGCGCACTCAAAAACTGCGGCATCTCTTGCCACAATCCCCCGGCGCCCGCGAATAACCACCGTCCCTCCTCTACGTCCTGACCATGTTGGTGTTGACTGGTGAGGTCTGGGAGGAAGGCCAGGCCGAGGTACTGGAGGCCGACTTGCTTGATGTAGTCCTGGTAGGTGTTGAGGGTGAGGTCATTACGATGGTAGAAGCCGTCGTAAGCACCGCCGAGGCCGTCGACGAGTACGAAGGGGCAGTGGTCCGTTGCGCAGGAGACGTCGTTTAGCGGCAAATTGTCGAGTTCGGGAGCCACCAATTGTTTGTTGGCGTCGCAGGCGGCGGTGAGTGTGTGCAAGCGTTCGAAGGCTTGCACACGTTCGCCGGCTGGGCAGGCGAGTTCGACTACGGCATCCACGTTGAGCGCAGTCCCGGCAGAGAGCGGAAGGAGTCCGTGGAGGTCATCCAGAGTGCAATCTGCCCCGCAATCGCCCAAGTCGAACTGGCAGGCCTCCACGTTGCAGGCATCGGTGCAGACAGTATTTCCAAGGTCGCGAAGTTCGCAGTCAGGAGCACACTGTTCGCACACGCCGCAGGTCTCGGGACAAGCGTCCTGCACTCGCGCCTCCGGCGGGATCCCGGGTGGTACGGCTACACCATGTTTCTCGGCGAGCTGCAACAAATTTGTTCGACAACCTTGCGTCTTGAGTATGGCGCAGCCAACGCCGCTAGTTTCGAGCAGCGGATTGTCTTGACAGACGTCTTCGGGGCAGCGCTGCAAGTTGCAGCCTCGCACATCGTGGAGTGCGGGACAGGGTGCGGCCGTGGGTCCAGGGGGGAGGAGTATTTCGCGAGAACGCTCTTGCACACCTCCGCCACAGACGCGTGTGCACACACTCCATGCAGTCCACTCGGAGACCTCGCACTCCTCGCCAAGACACGGCTGTAGGTTGCACGTCTCGCTCTCCCACAACGCAGGACAGGGCTCGTCGCCAACTGGCGCCGCAAGCAGGTCGCGACTGCGCCAACGCTCGCCACCGCCGCAACTCACGCTGCATTCCGACCAACTCGACCAGGGACCCACGTGGCAGCGTGCGCGGCATCTTTCGAGGACACACGGCGCCTGCTGGCGCTCCGTCTCGGCACCACAGAGGGTCGGGATACCCGCCACCAGTGCGCGTTCCCGAACCTGCAGTCCTTCACCACAGTCGCCCGCACATCCCGACCAATCTGACCATGGTCCCCAGCGACAGTCTGCCTTTTGCTGCGCCCGCCGCAAATCTGCCGCCGAACACTCCGTCAATTCGCACACGCGTGTTTCCGCCAACTGCAACGGACACGCACTCCCGCGTCCTGCCTTGGGCGCCAACACCTCTCGGACCCGCGTCTGGCTGCCCGGACCACCGCAGTCTCCCGTGCATCCTGACCACTCCGACCAGTCTGAGACCACACAGTCTGAGTCGCAGGGATCCGTTGCACACTCGCGCTCCTCCGCCAGATGTGGACACAAAGCCCCAGTACCCACAGTCGCCTTGACTACGCTGCGCGTCCGACTCTGACGCCCGCCCCCACAACTCTCCGAACACTCAGACCACACTGACCAGTCCGAAACCAGGCAGTCTTCCGCACACGCCGCAACCACACACGCAGCAACCTGCTCTAGATCCCCGCACACACTTAATTCGAAAGGTGCTTTGCCAACCAAACTGCGGCTACGGACTTGCACACCCACCCCACACGTCGCGCTGCATTCAGACCACGCCGACCACTCACTCAACTCACACTTACTCGGACACGCCGACACACCACACACTTCTGTCTCCGACAACGCAGATGCACACGAACCAGAATCGCCATTCAAGACTGTCCGGTACCGGGTTCGCTGCCCATTGCCACCACACGGAGCCGAACAAGGCGTCCAGTCACTCCACTCCGACAACAGACACCCTGATTTATCGTCGCGCAACCTACGTACGGACTTGTCTTCGCTGGACTTATCGTTATCGTTATCGGTTTTGTCGTTCGATTGGTCACCATTATCGTGGTCGCCGTTCGATTTGTCGCCGTTCAACTTGTCGTCGCAGTCGCAAGCTCTTTCTTGAATTACGTCTTCACATGCGTCGGTCCAGAGCGCAATGAGTCTGTGTCGCTGTTCTGCGACTATTTCGGGCTCGCCGTCTCCAGCGGCGGCACCAGCATGGGTGCGGCAGGCATCAGGGCAGCCTGACCATTCTGACCAGTCGTCGGAGTAGACGCACTGTGTGGGTAGGAATCTGTATTTATCATCTGTACACTCAACTAGACATTCTTTGAATTCTGATAATCTGGGGCAACCCGCGGCAGTCTCGCCTGTGGGGAACTGTACAACGTGTCGCTCTCGCACGCGTGTGCCGAAGCCACACTTGGCACCGGGTGCAAGTACACACTTGGACCAGGAAGACCAGGAAGAAACAAGACAGTCTTGTCTGCAGGGTGGGTTAAAACACTGACGAGTCTCGGTGAGTGGTCCACAGGCTTTGCCGCCGGCGAGAGTGGGTTCTAGGACTTGACGGGTGCGGAATTGCGCCCCTTCTCCACAACTGGACTCACAGACGGACCAATCGGACCAGTCGCCCATGTGGCAGTCTTGGGGACAAGGGTGGGTGTTGCAGACTAATTCTTCAGTTAAAGGAATGTCGCTGCACTCTTCGGCAGTGCCTTTGAGTAGCACGCGTTCCCTTGTGGCTACGCCGCCACCACAAGAAGTATTGCAATGTGACCAGTCGGACCAGAAGGAAGTAAGGCATTTGTCTACGTCACAGAGGTTGCCAGCGCACTCTTGTTCCTCCAATAAGTCGGGACAGCCGTCGGAGTCGCCCTGGGGAGCCTTCAAAACGTGTCTGGTGCGGATTTGCGTTCCTGGACCACAAGCGGTAGAGCATTCGGTCCATTGGGACCATTCTGAGACCTCACATTCAGACGGACACTCTCGTTCGAAGCACGGTTGCGTCTGTTCCAGAGGTGGACAATCACCGCCCCCATCTTTAGGTTCAATTAGGACGGAGCGTTTGCGCGTGCGCTGACTGGCACCACAGCCTTCACAGTCACTCCAAGGACCCCAAGGTGTAAGTTGGCAATCTGTCGGACAGGCCACGTCTTCGTTGCAGCCGGTCTTGCGTTCCTCCAACTCAGGACATGGCTTACCATTCGCTGTAGGGGCAACCAACGCCTGACGAGTACGGGTCTGAAACCCACCACGACCACACTCCTTGGAGCATTCAGACCACTCCGACCATGGCCCCACTACACAGTCCTTCTCCCAGCAATCGCCACCGTCAAATTGACAAGCCGCATTATTACAAGCCTCCTCACACCAACCATTACCAACAAACCATTTGGCACAACCCGGAGCGCAAGTTGAACACAATCCACAACTCAGTGGACATGCATCAGCAACACGACGAGATCGAAATGCCTGTGGAATATTATCCAATGATCGACCCCGCTCTGCTGCCAACTCACTTAAGATCCTCTGACAACCCAGTGGACCTACGTTCTTGGCTAACAGCGAACACTTCGTACCACTCTGCTCAACCAAGGGAGAATCCTCACAAGGCAGCCCAGCAGCGTTCAACGGCGTACTCTCAAACGTCGTCGAATTCGATACAGATGTCGGTGCCGTCACAGACAGATCACTCAGCGGATTCGAAGACCGACGACTTATTGACCGACTCCGGCCGGTCGCCGCACCGGACAGTCCCAGCACCGCCGCGGCAAAAGCGATTGCTTTCATACTTAAAAACTTAGTCGCTCCAACAAAAAACAGACCCAGCCACTTTTGATCTGAAAGATCAAGCAGTTGGATCTAGCAGCTGGCCAGATCGGCATAAAAGAGTGTCGCGCTGTCAAGGAACTAAGTCTCTACCGCCTGATGAACAAAGAGAGTGGCAGCCTTTTTTTTACGCAACATATCGGCAAAGGTGCTGTCAGTGCCATGCCTCAACTCAAGATCACTCCAACGCTGCCAGAGCTCATCATCAGCGGATCTGGTGAATTGAGAAACGTGTTCGAAAATAGCGCGCGCGCGATCTGTTTCCAAAACAGTCAATTCCATTTCAGCAAATCTGAGTCCCATAGACACGAGATCGCTATCCGGCAGGACCGTAAGAGCCTCCTGGAAAATAGGTCTGGTGGCTGTAATTCCAAAGTACTTGGCAGACCATGCAATTAGGATTTTGTACACGTCAAATTTCTCCTGGTCCTGGACATGACTAGCGGCTTTATGTAGTATCGAAAGAGCATTCCGTATTAGTCCGAACTGCTCTTCAAACCTCGCATACATAAAATAAAATCTCCAAGCTTCTGTTGCGGGAGCTTGACTAGTAACTTTATCAAATAATTCTCTAGCCCTTTCTATCTTCTTCTTTCGGTATCTACTACAGAACTTAGATAAATATTCCAGCCATAATTCTCCAACTTGGGGCCAGTGATACAAGGTAATTGCTTTTTCATATATTTGGAATGCTTCTTCAAATCTATGATGCTTCTCAGCATACACCGCAAAACATAATATCTGCGGTATAGTAGCAGTTTTATATGCCATCATCTGATCGAAGGCAGCCTTTATTGTGAGATCTGTTCCAAAGCATAGCTCCAGATCAAACAGGATAGCCCACAGCCTAACAGACTTACATAAACGCGATCTAAGTATTGATGTCCTTTCATCGCTATCGTCATTATCCTGATTATGACTATCATTCATATCTGTCCCTTTGCCGTCATCGGCTTTTAGTTTTTTCTTATAGTAGGTTCGACTAATTGCTAATCTAGCTAAGTGTAATGCTTGATTATAACATAAGCATCTAATTTCCAATTCAATTCGTTCGCACCATATGGAAACTAGTCCTTCTACATTTTTGTTTGCATGATGCGCTGCCCTTTCTAGTAGTTGTCTAGCCTCATCAGTACGATCTAGTTTTTCTAGTAAGGACGAACACTCGATCCATATAGCGCTGTAAGGACCGGTAGCGCGAATTGGATCGATTGTTCGTATGGCTTCATCAAAGACTTCCAGGACCTTTTGTATATCTGGGATTTTGGTATGGTCATATTTTCTACCACTATCACCATCAGTTTGGTGGTCATCATCGCGCATAAAGTAATAAGCACGATTAAGCCATTCATATACATCATGAGGATTTTTTCGAATGCGCATTAAGGATAGCAAATCGCCTCTATGCTTCAGCAAGTATTCCAGTTTTTCGAGTATGTATTCAATGGTTAATTCTTCTTCTTGCCCTCGCTCATTACTTTGAGCCATGAGTTTCTCAGCGGTTGCCTTCAGGTATCCCGTTATGCTCTTAAAAATAGTCGTAAAGTCTTCCACTGTCTCGACAGTGCCCAGGGCCTCTTCGTATATGGCTATACAAGAATCAAATTCGTTCAGCGCACTATAGTAACCAGCTAGACCGCACCATAGTGAAGCAACTGACGACGTAAATTGGCTGACTCCTAGCCGTATTAACCGTTCGCTCTCCACAGTAGTTATAGCATGCGGGTGTTCGCATAGTAATTGACATAACGTCTTCCACATGTCCCGACGACTCCAGGTTCCCGTGTAGTTCGAACTTAAGCATAATTGCGACAGCTGCTTAATACCGTGAGTCCACATCTCTAACTCCAATAAGAACCTTACGAAGTCCTCTCGATACTCCGGCATCAATTGGATACACCGTCTATACACACTCAAGCATGTGGACGGACACCTTGATTCCTTCACAAACTTTATATAAGCCGGCCAAACCAAATGATGCTGTGTTATTGGTAGCGTGCGCAACACGTCGTCAAACTCCCGCCGCGTTCCGGTTATCCTACCACGAACCTCCCACAACATTCGCGTGTACATCAAACGGGCCTTAGGGTACTTGTACATGTGACTCATTCCCTTCCGATAAATGGCCTCCAAGAAGTCCAACACAGCCTCACGATCCTCATTCTCGGAGGATGCTAACTCCTCTCTTGACGCGTAAAATTCGACAATATACCTATCCACCTCCCTCAAAACGCGCATCCAAAGCTTATACGACATGGGACTGTATCTCAAGGCACGCAGAAACAGTAGGATACGACATCCATAACTTGCATTACGCTTGAACTGAAACGAACATATTGACACCAAAACTACAGCACACACTATAGCACACACTATAGCACACACTATAGCACATACTATAGCACACACTACAGCACACATTACAGCACTTACGTTGATATATTGGAGCCAAGACTGGATGTTAAGCGGGTTCCCTTCCACGGATTTCTCGTAGCCCACCGTTCTCGGGTCATCATTTATGTCTTTGAAGAGTCCAATGAATTCCTTGCTGTATATGCCACCGGTTGCTTGCTCTACATCTGCTATTGTTACAAAGTGGGATACCTCATCCATAATTTCGGCCCAAGAATATCCCCTCAGTCCCCACCCCTCCCTTTCTCAGCCCAAAACCAGTTAAATTACTTCCCTCACGACCAAGCTTTTTAGGACCGACTAGGCCAGTCCGCGTGTTGCGAGTCCATGTATTATAAGCAATGCCAATAGCCACAAACAATGCTCTGAACAGACCTAGGCTCAGGTCTAAGCGTCCGTCGTGAACAAATCCAGTTGACCTCGTGGACTTTGAGTACAACATGTGGTCCGGCATCCCAGCAGCACAGTCCCCAAAACCTAAAGTGAACCTAACCGAGCTTAAACCGAAATTACCCAGACCAAAAAGTAAGTCGCGCGCGTGCGCTCTACTTCGCGTGCGTGCGCGCTACTTCGCGTGCGTGCGCGCTACCTCGCGTGCGTGCGCGCTACTTCGCGTGCGTAAGATGGTTAATGACTTCCGTGGAGTGTATGGCGGGTGGCCCATCCTCTCTGGACCACCTTTCGCTGAAGGTGACTGTTGGTAGTGCGTCGTTGCCACTGGCTGCGAAGTCTTCGCAATAGAGAACGCGATTGGACATGATCTCCATGACAGGCGGTCCTCGTCGACAAGTCCAGGTGCGAACTGTTTCCTCTAGACCTTTATCAATAAGGTTGTAAGAAATCTCCAAGCAAAACGTAAAGCTGTCCGGCCACTTATGTCTCTCTTTCGTCACACGTTCCCAGCCTGCTCCGAAGCTTACAATATCACGGCGTCGGACTCGCTTAGTCCCGTCCGAATGCCCTTTCCGTGCTTGGGTAGACTCTTGGACAGAAGCCAGAATCTGGGTCCATATCCTCCTTCCAGGGTCCGTCCGCGGCTGGCAGGTCTCCCGGAGAGACTCGTTATCTAATGCATTCTTTATGAGGAACATATCCTCGACAATAGGCACTGCTAACGCCATAGTCTCCTCACAAAGGTCACTCAGAACCCAAGCAGAAGCCAATGGTGAACCCATAGCAGAAATTCTAAGTGGTACCGCTGCTAGCGGTAGAGCAGACTCTTCTCCTCTAGAATCGGTGACGGATCTACACTCGTACGTAGATCTGGAGTCTTGTATGGATCGGCAACCAAAGGTAGACGAAGACTCGTGCGTGGGTCTTGACCCAGGTATTGGTCTTGACTCAGGTATGGGTCTTGACTCAGGTATGGGTCTTGACTCAGATATGGGTCTAGAGATGGATCTAGACTCACTCATAGATTTAGAGTAGCCGAAAGAGGTTCTTGCGCGACTTACGCAAGTTAGCTTCCTGACCCCACGCTCACCACTGCTACCACTTGTCGGGGCCTGGGTTGCACCAATTGCATGGGAGGAGTTTACTCGATGCAGGTGGGGACCGCTGGAGACCTTCTTGACCAGCCCAGCCGATTCCTTGCTGTACCCCCGGGAGTACTGTGCGACTTCACAGTCTTGGTGATACTGTTGGAGTTCACCTAGCCAGGCACGCAGCTTCTTGGTGACTAGGTTCTTCTCCGTTTCTTGGAGCTTCAATTTGCCAATCAAGTCCTGTAGTTGATCCTCTGCTCGAATCTTGGCCTTCTCCGATACTTGTGCATCCAGTTGGAGCTCCTGAATTCGAGTTTTGAAGTCGGCACATCTTACATTAGACTTGCTTTCCATTTCACTCAATTTGCGGTGCAGCATTTCCAGCTCGTCTATGGCCTCGGTCCTCATCCTTTCGCTTTCGTTTTTAATCCTTTCAAGATCAGCCTTCTGTCTCTCGAACTGTCGGTCCAATTCCCTTTTCTTTAGGTCCGCCTCTCGCTTCTGTTGCAGAACCTCGTCGATACGTTGCGTAAGTGACTTATTCTGTGCTCGAAGTCCGTCCAGCGCAATTTCCAGTTCACGCATGGTTGTCTGGCACTGATTAACCCTCTCTTCTGACCGCTGCTGCATCACCGCTTGCTTCTCGAGCACACCCTTCATCTCAGTGCGAGTTGCCGTCAGAGCGGAAGCCGTGCTATCCAACTTGCTCTGTAGAAACTCAACCTTCTTCTTGAGCTTGTTCTCCTTAGAATCCATTGACTCACAAGACCTAGGGGTCGAAAGATCCTCAACAATCTCCACTTTTGGAGTAATTGGAGGAGCGGGTAACGACTTGATCTCAGCCAGCTTCGCAGTTAGCTGCTGGATTGTCTTCATATAATCGGTCTCCTTATCTATGAGCTCAATTAATTTTTTCTCGTCCTCACTCGCCCGGCTTTGGACACCAGTTAACTCCTCCTTAACATTTTGAAGTTGATGTTCTAAAGAGCTAATCTCCTTCTTCAGACCATTGACAACTTGCAAATCATCACTGCCATTCTCCCTGATTTGAAGCTGGTTTTTGAGTTCGCTTACTCTGTCCTTTAGTTCATTGTTCTTGGTGTTATATTTCTGTATTTTATTTTGCATGTCGCTAATTTCGTTTGCAAACTTTTTGGTTTCTTCTTCATGCATTTGACTTTGATCTAGCAGTTCCCGACAGGACTCCTCATGGCCTTCTCTTTCCCATAATAAGGCCTGCTCTAGTACCGTCATCTCGAGGCCCATCGCCTTAAGCTCGTCGGCCAGTAGCTTATTTTCAGCCGTCATGCTCTTCATCTCGACGGACAGTCGGTCCCAATTCTCCATTAGCATTCTGCAGTTCTCACAAGGCACCGTTCCATCATTTTTGTCGTCATCACCCAGTCTCTTCTTTAGGTAATTCAGTTCATTGAGTAACGTAGCATTAACTTCCTCCTTCTCGGAAACTATTTGCTCCAGCTCATACTTTTCCCTCCCTAAATCATCCAGCAAGACCCGAGCCTCATCCAGTTCTGCTTTTATGGTTCTTAAATCCTGTACAGCGCTCAAGAGCTCTTGATTGCGTCCCTCTTCATCCGTACTCCATTCATCCGACGACTGGACATTGGACGGCCGGCTAGCGGACGCACGTCCCGCGTTCGAGACCCGGCCCTTATTCGAGTGACGGCTATTCGACGCCACAGGGATGTAGGGGTCGTGAGCTGTCTCCGGCATGAGTACCACAGAACGGAAAGCAGACGAACAAAAACCGGATGCCATCGTCGTTGGCGGACCCAAACTACTCGACTGCTTGTTGAAGTCGATATCCAGCATTGCTTCTAACCGAGCTATTTCCGCCTTGTGCTGCAATAACAGTTGATCATACTTCTTCTCATTCTCCGCCAACATCTGGTCTTTCTCATTCAACTGCTCTACTAACTCTACGTTCTCTCGGTCACCTTGCTCTAATGTCAATTCCAGAACATGCATGTGCTTTGCTATCGCCAATGCTGCCATAGTCAACTGCACCGCCTTACGGGACGCCAGGTCTTCGCCAACCATGTCCGTACCTATTCCATGACGTTGTAACAAACTCCTAATTTCCTCACGATCGTTCTCTTCTAAAACAGACGAACACGAAGAATCTCTCCTCCAACACTCCAACAAACGAATTGTCATCTCATCACTAAAATACACTACAGTCCTACTCAGATTAAACGGCATGCAAACGAGGAGCGCATTCTAACCAGCGACACGCACACGAGTGTGAACCAACTTTTCGAACAGATCTCCGGCAGCTGCGGATCGGTTCATTTATAAAACATGTCACCAGCTGCCCGAAAATGGAGCCTTTTGGATTGCTTAGCCTTTTCGATTGCTCTCGATAACATGGGTGCTGCTTTCAGTGTCACAAAACACAGTGTGCTGGGCAGTCGCGGAAACTGCGTTTAAATTTGCCCATGTCTGCCCCAGCTTTTTGGAGCCTGGATTCAGTGCCACTTTTACCGAATGCGCGGTCCACGGCCCGGAAGTAAGTGCAAATCTCATGCGAGACAATCGACTCGGCATGACTCCATTGCCCATGATTTCGATTCTACTACCGGAAGTAGGGTTTTGATAACTGACTCCACGATCACCGTTATCGCAATTTCATGACGCAGATGTTCACCCCCGCGTGTGTATTATTCCACAGGGTGGTGGGCCCCGTGCACGCATCAACCAATATTTTAAATCGCGAAAAATGCGTGGCTGTCAGGGGAGTGGTGAGAGGGTAGACTTGGTGTTGGAGGTAGTTCTTCAAGCGCTTACAGTGCGGTCGCGGCTGACGGCGCAGTGCTTGGGTCCCGGGAGTCTGGAAGCCCGGGTCACATTGCCGTTCCAGTTGACTCCTTCATCTCGCTCCCTGGGCCTCATCCAATCTCCCCGGAATTTGTTGAACTGGTCCGTGTCTGTGAGCCGAAGAAGGGGTTACGTGAATTGGGCCAACGACTTTCTGAAAAACGTGGGCCGTGCGGTCCCCGAGATGAAGCCTCTAATGAAGCGATTTCGAGAGCTTAACAGCTACCTCGCAACCAAACGAGTCAGCACAACAGACATAATCAACTGTGCGTGTGCAACGGAGGCCCTTCTGGCCCGATTCGAACAAGCAATGAAGCCCTACTTTGCGCTGTACGACGGTGCTAGACTTCAGGTAATGGATCGGCTCCCAGCGATGCCTAGTCGAGAAGAACGAACGATGAAGGTGCGAGTTCGTCAAGCGAAGTTCCTACAATTGGTCAAGGATAACATCACAGGACCAAACAAGGATTACGTCCTTAGCCGCCTGGAACAGCCTCTGCACAGGAGAAGAACCAAAGGTAAGCCGGCCACCCCTCTTGCGTTTTTTCTTCTTGAGGTTGCACATATCCCTGACAATGTGGTAGTTGCTCCGCCTATCTGGTTGCTTGGGTGAATGCCTGGGCTATTGTAGGTGGTAAATGTACGGGTTCAAAGACGAATTTGCGGGATGTGCGGTCTGAAATCCGTGACCTGTGGATTCAGCTTCATATGGCGGTAGAGAAGTGCTTCACGTTTGCAGTTCCTTGCACGGCTCTGGATCACGACGAGTTGTTGGACTGGGAGATGCGTCATCTGAACGTGTCCGGGACCCGAGAGGAGCATGTTGAGATTCGTCCGAAAATTCGTCCGAAGAGCCGGAATTCGTCATCTTCGAGTGACTGTAGTTGCGAAGGTTGTATGGCGCTATGCCGCAATCGACTTGGACGGAGTTTTACTTTTTTTGGAAGTCATCCGACTCAGTGTCATGAACTGATTGAGTTCAAGGCGTTCGAGTCGGTGAATGAAGAGACATTGTTGAAGAACCGGTTGAAGATATTGAACCAGTTAAGTAGAGCTGAGAGTCAGCGACACGCCGCACAACAGTCCATCATGAGCTTGTGCGAAGTGTTTCAGTGCATGGATGAACTCCAGACATACGACCCCCAATCTCTCTGGCAGTTTACTGTGGGTTATAATGAACGTAAGTCAACAAGGCTGCCCGTTTGCGACTCTAAGGACCTGAACAAGCTTTGGTCCGGTGCATGGAAAAGTCTTGACCAATTTATTGCTGGAAGAGAACGACTGGCCAGAGCCAACCCGAAGAACCCAACCGAATCAGCAAGAGACTGGTACCGACTCATCACCGCTCAACGTGTTCTCAGATGGACCCAAATTATCCTCAAGGGAAGCAGTCTAGCCAAACGCAAACGCCAATGGGAAATACATCTACCCCCTGGAGACCTCATAATGGAAGATACTGGTAAGAAAGTTGCCAAATCAACTAAACAAAATTCTTGGTGGAAAGATTGCTTCGGCTTCCTATCCAAAGACAAGAAGAACAAAAACAGAGAAAAACCAAACAACAACTTAGCAGTCGGTCTAACCCTCTTCCCGACCGACCACCAGATTCGGTTCGGCTTCGGCAAACTCTAACCCGTCGCTAAACAATTTTTTCAAAACACACGTGTTTCACATTGAGCGAACACACTGATCCAGCCACCGTTGAGGGGCCAGGATGTCCTTTGGACCACTCAGTAAGGTGTCCTTCACAGCCCGCCCGCTAGGAACTCACGGCTGCTATCCACCCGCAGTAGAGACCCCGACTGGGCCGCTTGTAAGTTGGAGACGAAATGACCCTAACGGGTGGTAAACTTGGAGGTAAACATGGACCCCAGCCTGAACGTCTTTTAACCTTGTACTGAACGTCTTTAAACTTGAAGCCTCTGGGGTTCTAGTCGATGAGGCCTGGCGGATACTAGTCGATGAGGCCTGGCGGATAGGCTTGCGTTTACATGAGAAAATCCTTAGGGTTATGTGTGCGGGCGTGTGCGACCGGAAATAAAACGAGACCAGGTGTCTAGGGTACCCTGGATATAAAAAAATATACAGATCGACTAAAACCAATCAATCATCCATTCATCAGTTAACATGGCCGACGAGGAGCAAGCCCCAGTTGTTGTCGACAACGGTTCTGGTATGGTGAAGGCAGGTGCCGCTGGTGAGGATGCTCCTTCCAACGTTTTCCCTTCCATCATTGGTCGGCCTAAGCATGCTGGTATCATGGTTGGTATGGAGAAGAAGGAAGCCTACGTGGGCGACGAAGCTCAGGCGAAGCGCGGTGTGCTACAGCTTACTTACCCGATTGCCCACGGCATTATTACTAACTGGGACGATATGGAGAAGATCTGGCACCACACTTTCTACGACGAGCTCCGTATTTCTCCCGAGGAGCACCCCGTTCTCTTAACTGAGGCGCCCCTTAACCCCAAGGCGAACCGTGAGAAGATGGTCCAGATGATGTTTGAAAATTTCAGCTGTCCCGCTACCTATGTGTCTATCCAGGCCGTGCTCTCCTTGTACGCCTCCGGAAGAACCACTGGCATCGTCATGGATAGCGGCGATGGCGTCAGCCACACCGTTCCCATCTACGACGGTTTCGCCTTGCCCCACGCTGTCATGCGTCTCGACCTTGCAGGCCGTGACTTGACTGAGTACATGATGACTCTTCTGCACTTGAGAGGCCACGCCTTTACCACTTCGGCTGAGAAGGAAATTGTCCGTGACATCAAGGAGAAGTTGTGTTACATCGCTCTTGAGTTTGATGAAGAGCTCAAGAAGGCCGAGGAATCTGACGAAGTTGAGAAGACTTACGAACTCCCTGACGGCAACGTCATCAGCGTCGGCAAAGAACGCTTCCAGACCCCGGAGGCCTTGTTCCAACCGTCTCTCATCGGCCGAGAAGCCCAAGGTGTTCACCACACTACTTTCCAGTCCGTCATGAAGTGCGACGTTGATATCCGAAAGGACCTCTATAGCAATGTCGTGCTCTCCGGCGGAACCACCATGTACGAAGGCATCGGTGAAAGAATGACCAAGGAACTTACAGACTTGGCTCCTTCCACCGTTGGCATCAAGGTCATCGCCCCTCCCGAACGTAAGTTCTCTGTCTGGATCGGTGGCTCCATTCTATCGTCCCTCACTACCTTCCAGAACATGTGGATCACTGCCGATGAATACGAAGAGTGCGGCCCCGTAATTGTACACAAGAAGTGCATGTAAAGAGCTCCTTTTTATCGCCCCCTATCAGACAGTTATAAGATTTTAAATCCTTCTGCTAATTATTAGTAATATTTGTTCTGTTACTTTATAATCTCATTCCCATAATAAATTCCCATAGTAGCACTGGTCTGGCCACCGTGGGTTATTTTTAACCCACTGGCGAAGTACTAAATTAGAATGCAAATCCACATACGGTCTATCAGCAATCTGCGCTTTGAGCTCAACGTGGAGCCATACAGTACGGCCCTCGAGGTAAAGGAGCTGATACAGGTAAGCATTACAGCGGGAAATGACACAACTGAGCAACGTGAGCGGAGGTATGAATGTCTTCAATGACTGGTTACTGGAGTGACTGGTTACTAGAATGAATGGCTACTAGAATGAATGGTGACTAGAATGACTGGTAACAAGTGCGAAGAAGTCCCCAGGTTCATGGCAGTTTCCAAGCCGGATCGGACCAGCTGCCCATAAGCGGCAAGTGCGAGGGCTACATGAAATCCGCAAGTGCGCGATGCACCCGCAAGTGCGCGATGCACCAGCGGGCGAGGCACGATTACGAACATGTGGCGCAAGAAAAAGAGCGATTAGATGAGGGCACAAGCAAGAAGAGCATGGCGCGTGTTTTAGGAAAAGGAAGGAATAGTTCCACAGCAAGTTCGTTTGATCTTCAACGGCCGTCAGATGAACGACGAAGACGTACTGGAGAAAAGTGGGGTGACGGCAGGGGCTACATTGCATATGGTTCTACAGCTGAAAGGAGGTTGTTGAACCGAAAATTGTGGACTAAAATTGTGGACTAAAATTGTGGACTAAAATTGTGGACTTAAATTGTGGACTAAAATTGTGGAATTGGACTAAAATTGTGGAATTGGACCTGGACTTAGTTACAGGATCTCTAGGAGGGTTACAGGCAGGTTATTTGCGGATCTCTAAGAGGGTAATGTCGAAGACCAGATCGCTGTTGGGAGGGATGCGGTCGACGCGTTGGTTGCCATAAGCGAGCTTGGAGGGGATAAGAAGACGGCGTTTTTCATTAGGCAACATTCCGATTACACCCTTGTCGAACCCCTTAATAACGTCGCCGTTGCCTACCACAAACTTCAGCAGACCGGCGTCAAACTTCTTCCCGTTCGACGCGAGGGTACCGACGTACTTGACTACCACCCGCTTGCCAACCGTCAGCATGGAGCCGGACCCAGCCGTCAAGACCTGGTACGACAAACCCTGACCCAAGTGCTTCTTCACACCCAACTTTGTATCTGCTGCCACCTCGCCCTTCTTGCTCTTTTCTGAGTCAGTCTTGCTCTTTTCTGAGTCAGTCTTGCTCTTCTCGGTCTTTGCGTTCTCGGTCTTGACGTTCTCAGTCTTGGCGTTCTCAGACTTCTTTTTGGGTACTTCCTTGATCACCTCAGTTGACTTTTTCTTCTTGTCCTTGGACGTGGTAGCAGCTTTCTTGGCTGTAGCCTCCTTGGCAGCAGCTTCCGCAGCTTCTTTGGCAGCAGCAGCTTCCTTGGCAGCAGCGGCTTCCTTGGCAGCAGCTTCCGCAGCTTCTTTGGCAGCAGCGGCTTCCTTGGCAGCAGCGGCTTCCTCGGCCTCTTCGTCCAAAAGACTCTCGGGCTCGCTGTCATTCTCCTCGCTGTCGTCGTCCTCTTCGTCTTGACTGTCTCCTTCCACTTCCTCAATCATGAGGCCTGCCTTGGAGGGTGCTCCGTCAGCCATTTCCTCGTCAGTAGAGACTTCGTCCAGGTCGCTGTTGCAACAAGCTTCCATGCACTCGTCGTCCATGCACTCGTCTTCGCTGTCACCCTCGGGGAGACTACACATACCGAGCACGGCAACCTTACAACTCTCGTCGCTCGTCACCAACTTCATCTTAAAGGAGTCCACACACACCATCTCCGATTGGATATTCACTGCATAGGGGTATACCAACCGACCGATGCAAATGTCACGTACCGTGTCCTCCAAGTACACTGTGCAGTCCTTGCCCTCCAACAAAGTCAACTGCACAATCTGTATATCAAAACCCTCCTGCACGAATTCCAAAGGCTTCTCCTTAGTCACCTCGTGACCCCAAGGAGCATTGAATAGCACATCCGACTCGCAACTCATTGACACTTAATTTTTTAATGCCCCAAAATCCACTGGCCCAACACCGGACCACAGGTTGAACAATGGCTACGAGGCCGGGCCTCTTCATGCTGCCGGACGGCCTGTTGCGTAAGGGAAAGCTGGCGTGAGGGAACATGTACGTGCGGCGTGAGAGAATGTGGTACCTGAGAGGTACACTGCCTTCGTGAGAAGTGCATTGCGTGAGGGGGTGGGTAGAAAGCTGTACGTGAGTACCACGAGGGAATGGCGTGACCGCATACGAAAAGGGGGACTGGAAGGAACGATTTTTCCAGTTGAGGGTTCCTGTAAGGTAAGCGGTGGAGACGGGAAAACGGCAAGGATGACTGCAAGGAAGGACTAAGACTTTGACTGATAAGTTGGGGTGCACGGCACAAACATGATGTCTCAAGTCTCTGATCTCAAGCAGACTGACGCGCAGATCGTTGTCGAGATACCAGTGCCGCACTACCCCACCAAACAACCGGCAGACGCCGTGCCGTGGTGCCCACCCGAGCACACCTGGATGAACAGTGCACCGACTAGGTCATGTCCTTCCAATGACCGGCACACCATGCCGCCGTGTTCATCCAAACTGGACACTCTAGGCCAGTTGATCTCTCAGAAGGACGAGCTTGAGAACCTCGCAAACTCGGCTGGTTGTGCTGCTAGCCCCACTTCTGCTTCGGTACTTCCAAAAGGCGGAGGACTTTCGGATTCGGCTGAACAGTCACTGACTACTGAGCCACTACCAGCTCCTGAACAGTTACCAACGGTTTTTGACCACTCACGGGCAGCTGAACAATTGCCAGTAGCACTTGAAGCGTTGGTAACTGCAGAACAGTTGCCAGGTGCTGAACAGTTGCGGGGTGTCGAGCAATTGCCTCATTCGGGGCAGTTACCAGCTACTGATCAGCTACCCGCTATAGTCCAGTTCTTAGTCGTAGAGCAGCTGACCGCTGCTGACGGCTTATCTGCTCCGAAAGAGTTACCGAATACTGAACGGTTACCAGCGGCAGGACTACCAGCGGCAGATTCCAAGACAAGCATTCTAGCGGACGGTGCGTTAAAATCTGAATCAAACGTTGCCCCGTCAAGGTGCCTACCGGGAGTAGGATTGTCTACGGTGGCGGGAGACGTTGCATTGGACTGGTGCGACCTTTGGCCGTTTTACCAAGGTGAGTTGGAGCCGCATTGTCGCGAGTTGAGTTCCTTTGCCACAGCTCACTGCTCAGAGTTAACAGGATCAGGTTGGCGCATTTTGAGGGGGGACGTGAAGGTGATTGTGGATGATGTAGCTCGCCAGATGCCAACCCGGGCGGGACGTCAGTGGCTAGGTGCGATCCTTTGGTGGCATCATATACACACCATGCCCTACCAGCAAGCGCACCTGTATATTTTGAGGAATATAATTTGCACGTGTGCTGAGACCGCAGCCTCACTTGTCAGTCGCGACTCGACCAGGATTCGTGGTGACCAGGATTCGGGTGAAAAGCCGAACTCGAATTCTGGTCGCCATGGTCGGCCAGGTCGGGATCCGGACCGGGAATCAACGTTTCAGGTGGTAATTAGGGCCTTGGTCTCACGGCCAGGTGGGCCTGGGTACCAAGACGTGGAAAGTCTTGTCAAGGCGGCCACGGATGATGGGCGGTTACCGCTGCTGGCGGGTCTGTCGTCGATGGTCTACGGACGGGTACTGACTGACTTCTTTTTTAGTGGACGTGCCGTGCGGAATTTGTTACCCCGGTTCTGGCGGTCGCCAAACGATTGGGAGGTGAATGCGCAGGAGCTCGCAACGAAAGCCAGTCTTCTCCTGGCTCATTTCGACCCAGAGCTGGAGGACGAGTTCAAGCGGCACGGGGGTAGCTTGTTGTGGGCAGCGAAATATACAACGGCTATTGGCGCCAACCTTATGGAAGGAAACATGTGGAAGGGTTGGCTGATAGTAATAATGCTCATGAGCAAAGCCTGGGGCGTGAAACCGTTTTATCTCTGCCTCGCCTCTATTAGCCATGCTCTAGCCGAGATTCACCACCAGATCTGTCACAAAACTCAGCCCGCGCTGCCCGACCAAAAACTGTCCAATTGCACGCGCCACGATGAATGCTTGGCAACCATCCTCAATGACGATACAGCCAAATCGTTGCTGGAAAAAAAGAAATTGGAACTGTCTCCTGTTCTTTGGAATCCACTCATTGTAAAGCATTTACGATGAAACTTGGAAAAAGACCTGAAGGCGGCTGTTTCGGCGCCATTATTCACCGTCGGTCAAAGAGGAATGGAGCAACCCCGCCTGAAGCCGACAGATTTGAACCTGAGGACGCTCCCGGACTGTCGCTACCCATACGCATTCGACGAACCATCGCGGACGGACCAAGAGGACCTGTTGTTGATCCGGCCGCCACTCGCCTTCCAGCGAAAGAAATCTCGCCCCCTACTTTAGCCAGACCTTCAAGGATTTGATTCCAACTATATACTGATCCTTTTTAACCCCTTAGTGTAGTTAGACCACCCAACAATATTTATTCAAAACATTACCGAACGTGTGTGCACACATCCTCGTTTTTTACTGGGACAAAAACGCACCAAGCTCCCTTCTTTTGTCAAGTTTTGTATCGCGTCCCTGATATGGAAATCGACTATCGGCTCGGTAATATGCGTCAAGTCTCTTCAATTTTCTCTGTTTAGGCGAGCTACCGTCTGAGGTCCAAGATCTGATTATTCGGGACATCGATGAAATTCAAGGGACTTGGCGCGAGCGACAGAAGCGGAAGGACGAGGTATTGGCAATGCTACAACGCTTGGGAGTAGGCGGGATTAAGCGTCGCCTGGTCGTTAACGCTGAAAGTTTGTTTGAAATCCGAAAGGAGTGGCCTGTGAAACAAATTAATGAAAGTCAATTACTTCAAGAAGATAATGCATTATCGCCCAGGAGTGCAACCGAAGCGTCTACGGAGCCTTCGTCGCCTGTGAGGGGCGCTGGATCAGTGGCGGAGTCCAAGTGGTGGCAGAAGCAGCATTTCCCCGCGGGAAGGTTTGTGGAAGGGGCGATTTGCGTGAACTCGAACGAGGCCGTAGAGATAGTGGACCCTGAAACGGGTCCGTGGAGTTGTACAGCAAAAATCGCGGAAGGAGTATTTTATCAAAAGCGGACGAGTGAGAAGCACCAGGTGACGATGTATGAGACAAGAGCTCTGGTTCGGCGACGAATAGATGAAGGGGATAAAAAAGAACAAGACAACAAGCCACTGCAGTATTTCCAGTGGGTGCTTCAGGACCACCGATCAGGGAACAACATATTGCGCACCCATTTTTATTTGGAGAAGGTGTAGCTAACAGCAGATGATTGAAAGCGGTTAGTACCAAGCGTGATTGGCGCAGTCCCAGAAAGTGTGAGTGTACGGGTGCGCTGCGGGCGGTGGTGTCGGGAGGTTGGCAGCCGGACACACATGGATGGGATTGGGCTGGTACGTTTGATTGTAGGTGGTGCCGAAGTCCCTAGTTTCGGGGGTGGGTTCAGCAATGCGATTTGCGAGGCCGGTGCCTGGAATGGGTTTGCCGTTTGAGTCTAGCAAGGGTCCGCCGTCTTTGGTGGCGATGGGGATGCCGTCTTTGTCCAGGATGCAGAGGGGTTTGCCGTCGGGTCCGAGTTTGGGTGTGCCATCGGGGTTGAGTAGGCCCATGCGTTTCGCGGCAGCAATTCGTCGTTGTTGCTCGGCAGATTTTGCCTTGAGTGCGCTTTGGAAGACCTGGGGTCCGTAGACTGAGCGATAGGTGGAGGTGCCTTCGAAGGGAAGGGATGGTGGCGGGGGAGCGGGAGGCGGCAGTTGGGTCGGGGGCGCAGGCTTCAAGGGTTGGTAGACGTCCCGGTAGGTGGAGGTGCCCGTGAAGGGTAGGGAGGGCGGGGCGGCCGCGCAGTGGTGGCGGCCGCAGGTGCATATTTCGTCGATGCACAGCCCAGGCCGCCGCGAGGGGGAAGCCGAGCGGCGACGCAGTTCGTCTTCGGGGGCCAGCACTAGGTGCCGCGCGGCTGGCGGACACAGCACGTCAAAACCACTGAAAAACGCAAAGGATGTGTGCACCTCCCACAACAGTGCTTACACTGGCTCTCTGTAGCGGCCTGCCTTAAACTCCGCAGGGTTCCTGCCCCGCGGCACTGTAGGATATCCTCGATAAAGCATGCACGCACGACCACGTGCGCGTGCTCGACCACACAAGTCTGTCCCACCACACACTTGCGCTCAACCAGATGCTTGTGTTCCACTACATATTTGTATTCCGCCGAACAGGGGGGCCCGACTAAACACGTGTGGCCCACAAGTTGTGTGCCCGACACGTTTCCATATGTGTGCCCCGCCCCGCCCCGCCGAGATGAACCTAGCGCTGGACCGTAGCTGGCTGGCCTAACACTCAGCCAGCACCAACGACGAAGCCCGGGAACGGGCGTGATGGTTGCAGGCAGCCCAGCGGCAGGATTTAAAAATTCACATGAGTGACGACTACGTCCGTCGGTTTTGGCGATGTCGCAAGACGTGTTGCGAAATGCTCGAGGATCGGGGGTACATCGTCTCCCAGCACGAGAAAAACGAGGCGTTCCCGGACTTCATGCGGCGGTTCGACGAGGCTAACCGACAGTAAGGGTGACAGGCACGAACAGTATTCTTGTTTATTCAGACGAGGACAAATGCTGTTGTTGGGAAGTTTAAGGACCGACGAGAACCAGAAAATTCTCGTATACTTCTCGGATGAGCCGAAGAAAACAGGTGTACGACCAATTAAGGAGTAAGCGAGGAAGGGGGGTTCATGATCGGAGTAGGATCATGACTTGGATATGGGGGTGTGTGGGGGGGGGGGACACATCGCGGTCTTCGGCATGTCATGACCGAGAAAAGGGAAAACACATTTCCATTAACGTGTGCATAACCGTGTGTAGATTGTCTGATAAGATGGAAGAGCGAGGTATCAGTAGTGCGATTTTGGTGGCTCTGAATTCGATGACGGCTTTTGCCCGGAACGCCATAGCGGAGCTGGCTCCCCAGCGTCATATAGAGTATTTCATGGAGGCAGAGTTGTTGGTCAACATTACTCGTCACGAGTTAGTCCCGCGTCACATTCCGCTCTCAGATGAGGAGAAGGAAGAGTTGTTGGCCCAGTACAAGATTCGAGACATCATGCTTCCCAGGATCCTGCCCACGGATCCTGTGGCCCGGTACTTTGGTCTGCGACGCGGCCAGGTCGTTAAAATCATTCGACCGTCAGAATCGGCCGGCCGATTCGTCACCTATAGACTCTGCACCTAGACGGGTCAGACGAGCAACATGTGTACCAACGCTGCAGTAACGCGCTGCTGGATACCCACCAGCCTCCTCAGATAGAAAGGATTCGTGACCTTGTTCGCAACCAGATAGCACCGCCAGATACCACGACTAGATATTCGCGCCTAGAAGATGCCATGGCTGGAGAAGCCGTGACTAGAGATCACGTTTTTCGTCAGCCCTGCATGAGCCCACGTGAGATGAAAACGATCAGTGATGCTTGTCTTCTGCGCGCACCTGTCATTTGACCGCATACACCGGGTGCGAAATGTCGTGCAGTCTCCTGCATCTCTACAGCTCCCGGCTGCGTGTGTGTGTTCCCACTGCATGTGTGTGCTTCCAACACTGTATGTATGTTTTGACTGTACATCAGACCATCTGGTCTATCTACACTATCTAAAACCAATTTCTAGTTCTGGCTGCTCTCTGAGAAGAGTAGTAGTCGTCGGTGGAGACTGTTTTGGCTGGTTCCTGTTTTGGATGTTGTATGTCAAGTTCAGTAGCGCCAGGTCTGAATTTGGGTCCACTGTTGATGACCTTGTTGCTGATCTGTCTCAGCATGTTGGCGGCGTTCTGAGCCACCTGGTCCTTAACTGAATTTCCGTCCAGCGAAGCCGACGAGGTCTCAATGGGGCGAGCTGGGACTTGCTTAGGGCCGGACTCCACGAGCCCCTCCACAAGCGACTTTACAATGTCAGACAGCGGATTGTTGTTCACAGTTTTGCTCACATCCTCCACCGACGATGCAATCTTCCCAATCAGCTGGTTCCGGATGCCGCCCCACTCGTCAGCCATGTCAGCCCACTCCACCGACGCCACCTCCTTCGACTCCTGTGCTTGAAACTCGCGGGGATTCTCGTACTCCACCGTCACAGGCTTCACGCCTTGAAATATGACCCACTCCCCGTCCTCGTTCAGGATCGTCTCGCCCGTCGTCGACCTCAAAACGTCGTCCAATGCCGTGGGCAACAATCCGTCCAACGTCACTACAGGCCTCTCTGCCCAAACATTCTCATCGGCACCAGTCGCCGCAGTGTCACCGGCCAGGACGGCAGCCACTGTGTCAAGTGGGTACATCTCCGGCTCATAGTCCTCAGGCAGTCCTCCCTCAACCAGTCCTCCCTCAACCAGTCCTCCCTCAACCAGTCCTCCGTGAACCACGACAGGCACCTCGTTCGAAAACGCTCCCACATGTATCACACTCCCCGCATCCACCTCCTTGGTTCTATCATCAGAAATCATCTCTTGCTGTTCGACCAAGCCACCCACCGGGTATTGTGCATCCGGCTTACGGTGGGCAGCAGCTTCGTCAACAACAGAGGACTGGTCGACCGGAGGCTCTGCAACATGTGCCTGGTCAACAAGGGGTTGGTCGAGAAGGGAGTTGTCGACAAAGGATGGGTCTAGCAGGGATTGGCCGAGAAGGGAGTGGTCAACAAGGAATCCGTCACCAGGGAATCGGTTCTCGGGATACTGGTGGTAAACAGTCTGACCAGCTCGGTACCGAGGCATCTCAACCAGTGCGTCACGGTCGTATACGATCGGGCCGTAGGCATTCTGGTTGTAGACATCCTGATTGTAAATCGACGGAGAGCGAGGGTCCTGCACGTACTCGTTCAGATCATATAAGTATTCTTTCAGCTCATATAGATCCTCAGTAGGGTAGTAGGAGTCGTCGACAAGACCGTTAGCAGCAACAAGGCGGCGCCCTGCATCCCCCAGACTTCGTCGTTGGAGTGCTTCGGTTCTGCTGGCCACCTGTTGGAGGGAGCTTACTACGGAATCGATGAACTCCTTTATCGTCACCATCCTCGAAGGGTCTGTACTCGTGCCGCTACTAACGTCCGACTTCACTGGTTTGAGGTTGTTCATTGCGTCCACGTTACTCGCTGTTTCATCAGCCGGGTTGGACGAGCCTGAAAGTTTCCCAGACGGCGACCCAGAGTCCGTTTCGCCAGAGCCAGTTCCTTCCGGGATGGCTTCGGCGGCCACAGGTTCTGCAGAAGTCTTTTTACTCAAGGCTTCCTCAATCAGCTTCTCGGCAGCCGCTTTTTCCGCAGCTGCCCGTTCCGCAGCCGCCTCCTGTGCCTCCTTATCTGATGCAACCTTCCTCAACAAGGCCTCAGTTTCAGCCTCTGCCGCCTTCCGCATTTCGGTCTCCTTTTCGAGTTCCTTTCGCCAGCGAACTTCCGCCTCTGAAATCGAATCGCGAAGGCGTTCCTTGACGAGGGCGGAAACACGATCTAAGATCTTTGTTTCCTCTGAAAGTTTAGCGTCCTCTTGCTCTCGACTCCGCGCTTCCTTAGGACCTACAGAAATCGAAGTACAACCAGACACGGTTTCCCACATGTGTGTCGAAATCGTTCGAATCGTGGCACAGATAAACAAGGGTGTGAGGGAGGGCCGTTGAGGGTGACAGGCAGATAGGTGGTGCTTACTAGGTTGACTATATACCTTTGCCATTTGCTCTAAATAGTCGTCGAGCTGTTGCTTTTGTTGTTCCACATATCTTTCAATGCCGGACCAGGTCTGAGAAACCTGTAGATCCGACAGGTTCTCGGCCAACTGCTCAGCCGAGTTCGCCGTAGGGGCCGGCTCGGAAGCTCGACCAGAACCTCCCATAATGGTCGAAATCACCTTCTTTAAAGTGTTCGATGACTGCTGAAACATCTTATCCACACTTGATACCGATTTCGACGGCTTTCGATCGGCCGCTGGCTCACTCCACGGAGTCACATCTGTTGCATACCCCCACGGAGTCATCCTCTCACCCCGAATCGTATCGGGCATCATCGGAACCACATTCGAAGGCGCCTCCGCTTCCTGCAAGTCTACCCACCTATCGCCCCCCTGTCTCTCGCCCATATCGTCAGCCCACACAGATGCTTGGGCAACGGGGAGGCCGCCTTCACGGATATGTATACTCCTGCTACCAGGTAAGCCAGAGTCGTGGAATAAACGATCGTCACCAACCGCGTAAAACGGACCATCCTCCATCCTGCCAGACTGTCTGTTCACCCTAGGCTGCACTCCACCGTCCAGAATGTCCCCCTCCAGAAGAGCGCTCTCGTCACTCTCCCCACTCCAGTTACGGATTCTTTCACCATGCCGGTCAAAGCTCCTCATTCTCTGCACTAGCTTTCTTGGGACCACATCAGATTTAAAGAACCTCTCTTCGCTTTGGTTATTCACACCGCCACGATGCACCGACTCTGCCCTCACGTGAGCGTTCGGCCGAGTCTCATCATCATCATCGCCGAAAACCAAATCTTCCTCGTCATAGTCATCGCCAACGAGGATCTGATCCGAGAGAGTCGGGATCCATCCGTTCTCAGACCTGTTGGAGCCCGGGAACCCGCCCCGGCTTGGCTTATTCATGTCATGGTGTACCGACTCTGCCCTCACGTGAGCGTTAGGCCGAGTCTCATCATCATCATCGTCGCCGAAAAGCAAATCTTCCTCGTCATAGTCATCGCTAACGG